ATAATTTGATAAAAAAGAGGTCTGTACCACGGACTAGAATAGATTAACTGGAGAGACGTGGCTACTTAATTAATTTAGACAATATGAAGTTTCATATAATATTTATTATATAAAAATGCATTGTTAAATAATGTTGATGTTTATTTTATTAATAAATATTCTGTTTATTCAGCGTGGAAGTTCGTGAAGCTGATGGAGGTGGCAGTGTCGCCCGACCCAGATGACGCGCATGCGGCGGGAAGCGTAGCCCTGGTCAGGGGCGGGTGAGTTTATTCTTATCATTCCTTATCAGGTCACGGGGTCACCATCAGTCTGTAGCTTAGCTTCTTAAATTTCCAACATAGATTTGTCAGGCATTAATTTTGGTTCTCACTCTCAATGAAAAAGAATATTATAATTGTCTTGGTTTAGGAGTAATTTAAGCGTTAAATATGTTAATTGAATTAATAGTACCAATCCATGTTTTTATTACTCATCATCGATGCCTAACTTATGTTAAATATATTCTATACATTGGAACACTGCATCATTAATGAAAACAAAATGTTGCAAATTATTACACAATGGTTTATCATTTCCAAACAGTTACAGATCATATGTAACGCTACTTTCTCCTTATCACAGAAAGCAAACTAAATAAAAGGTAATTCATAATATAGTTCTAAATTATTCATACTATTACTATTGATTCCTCTACTTCTCCCTTCTTTCCTCAACTTATGGGCGTACCACGAGGTAGTGTTTTAAGCCATCTTCTCTTTTCTCTCTACACATCTGATGCCCCTGAGCACCTCAGCACCATTCTTTATAGCTTTGCTGACGATACGGCAATTCTTTCTTCTCACAAAAACCTCACTATCGCTGAAATGGGTTGTACCATCATTTTTAATATGACACGGTACAGATGATTGGGTATTTGAAATGAACAAGTGGACTGTATTTAATGAATTATAATTACATTTAAACATTAAATACAGATGGGGGTTTGGCTTATAAATGTTCTACGATCGTTTACTTGATGTGGCTGGATGCTGAGGTACGGTGGTCGGCCGGCTGCAATACTTCTTCACCTCCATTTGTCCGGCAGGTCTCAGGGTTCTACTCCATGCCTCTTCCCATGGTAGAACAGAGTATGAATTCCTAGGTATTGAAGAGGGGAGAAAAGTCGTCTTCTTCGTGTGGTTTCAGTCGCCCATTTTTTCTCTTACTACCACTAGTTTTGGTGCATACAGCGCCACCGTCGCTGCAGTGTTACCTACTTCGCTGGTCCTTTACATGTACCCCATGAAGGGAGGGGGGATAACCTCAAATATAACCTTAGGGGGATAACCTTAGGGTGATCAACCCTAAACAATAGCTTTATTAGCCCTTCAAAATCACCTCCACGACCTTGAAAAATGGTTTCACATATGGAGAATCAAAATCAATGCCAGCAAGTCAACTCATGTTAGCTTCTTCCTGAGGAAGATCTCGTGTCCTGCTGTGACAATAGACAATAAGCCAGTTCTCTCAAAAACTCATGTACGGTTCTCGGACTATACTTGGACAAAAAACTCACCTGGATCATTCACACTACATTAAGAAAACAAGAACTTTTTTTTTGGTAATTTATTTACCTTTCAAAAGTTTATATATAAATTTTACCATAGAATGTATACTTAGCGAGTTAGGCCCACAACATTTTTCTTTTCTTTATAACTTTTTTTCCTGATTTTTTTAGGGAATTCAGAAAATGTATGTAAATTGAAAGGACGCAAGTTACAAAATTATAGGAAAGTTTCATCAAAATTGTTAGAGCCAATTTTGCGTTACAGTCTATAGAAAACTATATTATTTACTTGTTGTGCAGCCGCTATTTCGCTGGTAGCACCCGATTTTTATAATTGGGATCAGCAGTCAAAACTCTACAAAATAAAAAAAGAAGCAACAAAATCGGTTTACTGATTTCCGAGATAATCTTGGCTCAGACAGACAGACAGACCAATGGCTGACGTATAGATCCATCGAAAACCGCACATCGAAAATTTGACCCGATCGCAATACATTCCTTACCTACACAGGCGGATTTACGGCGGAGGGGGGCTTTCGGGCTGAAGCCCCCCCTCCCCCAAAATGGTAAAATATTATCATGTTTTATAGAAAAAAATATTAAAAACTATCTCTTAAAGTATTATTGTTCGTGTAATTACATTTAATAGGACTTCAATAATCACTTAAACACCATTTCATATAGGTAGTTCATTTATTTCTTCTTTTTTTTTTAAATTAATTATCGTTATATATATGAAAAAAAATCTTTCGGGCTGAAGCCCCTCCCAAAATTAAATCCTGAATCCGCTAGTGCTTACCTAGTGTAGGTATGAAAGTAATAAATTAAAGCATGTTATGCTAAGTGTACACTTGAGATAACATCTTGAGAGACAGTTTGGAGATTTGTCTCAGGATGTTGTCCATTGAGATCAGATGCGGTCCCGAGATAGTCGTTGGAGACTCGAAGATCGTTGCAGTCTCGTGACTTCCGGACAATTCCGTGACGACTCGAGAGTGAGTCAGCTGAGTGACTTGTTCGCAAGTTTTAGTATAACTAAAGTCGTTCAAGTCCATTTTTTTCCATTATTTTTTTTTATTTATTAGTCCATTATTTTTTTCTGTTTATCTCTAGCCTTAAACTACTAATAATCTCTTTTTTCACAAGCTAGAAACCCAGAGTATCCGTTCACTATGGCGGTTTATGAGTTAGTTAATATTATAATATTGAAATTAGGATTTTCTTACATTGAAAAGATTAATTTTTAAAAGATAAGATGTGTCAATGTTTTAAACCAGGCAAATACCCCGACAGACGAACATAAGTTCATTGTCGATAATTCCTTTAGTAATATTAAAAATATTTTTGAAAATTTTGTGGCATATTTTTCAATTTTTATATCACGTTTCCTGTCCAGTTAATGTTTGAAATTTCAAAAACTTCTATTCCTCGTAAAGATGGATTAACTCAAAAACTTTCGTAACTGGTTGCTCGTCAATGCGTAACTGCATTGAAAAGATTAATTTTTAAAAGTAAGACGTGTCAATGTTTTAAACCAGGCAAATATTCCGACAGACGAACATAAGTTCATTGTCGATAATTCCTTTAGTAATATTAAAAATATTTTTGAAAATTTTGTGGCATATTTTTCAATTTTTATATCACGTTTTCTGCCCAGTTAATGTTTGAAATTTCAAAAACTTCTATTCCTCGTAAAGATGGATTAACTCAAAAACTTTCGTAACTGGTTGCTCGTCAATGCGTAACTGCATTGAAAAGATTAATTTTTAAAAGTAAGCCGTGTCAATGTTTTAAACCAGGCAAATATTCCGACAGACGAACATAAGTTCATTGTCGATAATTCCTTTAGTAATATTAAAAATATTTTTGAAAATTTTGTGGCATATTTTTCAATTTTTATATCACGTTTTCTGTCCAGTTAATGTTTGAAATTTCAAAAACTTCTATTCCTCGTAAAGATGGATTAACTCAAAAACTTTCGTAACTGGTTGCTCTTGTTTATCTATAACCTTCCCCGCGTTAATTTCATCAAATAATAAAAACAAATTATTTAGAAAGCATTTGACAAGATAGGAATAGATTGCACCTAACGCGGCGTACTGGTACAGAATGGAAGTTTATGAAGTATGCTTCATGTGTAGGCTCCTTACACTGCTCAGCGGTAAAAGAAGAAATGATTGAGAAGAATACGAAAAAAATATTTATTAAATTACCGCGAAAAAGTAATATTAAATATATAAATATCTCATGACTTAGTGTCGATTTTTTTAATTATTAACAGAATATTGTAGACTAAGGGTGGTATTCATGGTCGTTTCTCTCACTCCACTGGAACGTTCCGTCAAAAAGGAATACTTTTATGAAACTCAATGAAAAGGATTCGTTTCAGCCAATTTGATTGCAGAGCACTGTAAATAATGTATATTAAAACAATCCCTTTGCCTCCTTTATTTATTCGATACTCAATATTTTTTGGAAATGTTTTGGTAAATTTATTATATATTTTAATCCAAAGAAACCAGTTATTTATAAGCCCCAGTATGAGAGCCCCATCTGAGAGTCCTCTTAGGCACTAGCGAGTCCAGGATTTAATTTGGGGGAGGGCGCTTCAGCCTGAAAGATTTTTTTTCATAAAAATAACGATAATTACTTTGGAAAAAATAAACTAACTGCCTGCATGAAATGGTGTTTAAGTGATTTCTAAAGTCCTTTCAAATGCGATTACATGAACAATAATACTTTAAGAGATCATTTTTTAATATTTTTTTTCCATAAAACATGGTAACATTTTACCATTTTGGGGGGACTTCAGCCCGAAAGCCCCCTCCCCTCCCATAGATCTGCCCGTGCTCTTAGGTACAAATTTCAGTCTAGAAACTATCTTAGAGAGATAGCACTTTTATAACTATAGAATAAGACTATAGACAGCATTTTTTTATCAGAAGATGATCAAGTTTTTTCATTCTTTTAGTCATAGGCGTAGACTTTCCAGGTTTGTTTGGTGGTGGGAAGGGGAGGAGGCGATGGATCCCCAAAAAAGTTTAGGTAGTTTAAATTATGTATAAATATTATAAGTGGTAATTAACCTAATCAACAAAATTATTATAAAACAATCAATGTCAGTATATAAAATTTAATTTATATATGTTCGTTTTGTTTTGCGTATGGATACATTTCATATTATATTCAAACACTTATTGGATATATTACGTATTGCCATAGACAGGGAAAGTTAGTTAGTTATAAGTATTTAATCATTTTAAAAGAAACTAAAAATGAAAAATTGACTAAAAATAAATTTAAAAATGTTCCCCCTTCCTCTGCTATTTTGAGATGACTACAGCTTGGGATATATAAAAACTTACAACTGAGCTGTCTGCCATGAATTGGTAGATCTAATCTCCCTTCGCAAAGGTAGAACAGACTATGACCGTCCTATCCAACCACAGGACTAATGACCCGAAGCACACCTGTTTACAAGACAACTGATCCAAAGAGGAACCACCATCCAGAGAGGTTTCCAGTGTAGTTCCCCGGAAGACCGCAAGGCCTGCCGAGCGTGACGGGCCCTTCCGGCACTTCGCACTGCCTGCTCCCAAATAGAGTTCGGTACCGTTCTAACCTCTTTGGGCTCATCAGTCGGAACAGTCTCTGTGATTTCTAAGTGTGTCGGTTTTCGCTGTGTCCTACAGTGTGTACTGGCTGAGTCTGTAGTTCCCAAGTATTAATAATTCCATTGACGCAGGCTTCGTCGATCGTCTTCCCCTCCCCCGCATCAGTAAAAAATGAGAGGAGCCAAGAAAATCGTTTCGCTCTACCTCCCCCCATCAATATTCGAAGTAAAAAAATAAGATCAAAATCAATAATAATTAACCTACATGAATGAATAAAATAGGTAAACTAAAGTCAATTAAGAAAAAAGCAAAAGTCGACTAGATGGCTAAGCTAATGCCTAGAAGCACGGGCGAATCTACGGAAGGGGGGGGAGCTTTGGGGCTGAAGCCCTCCCCTTTCCTCCAAAATGATAAAAGATAACCATGTTTTATGGAAAAAAATATTAAAAAATGATATCTTAAAGTATTATTGTTCGTGTAATTACATTTAAAAGGACTTTAGGAATCACTTAAACACCATTTCATATAGGTAGTTAGCTTCTTTCTTTTTTCCAAAAGTAATTATCGTTATATTTATGAAAAAAAAAAAATCTTTCGGGCTGAAGCTCCCTCCAAAATTAAATCCTAGGTCCGCTAGTGCCTAGAAGTAGGTACTCAAGTATTTTACCACGCACTATGTTGTTATTATTGAAATTTTAGTTTATATTCAAAGATGATTATAGCAAGATATCTTGGGATTTTGTGATTCATTAATCTGTACCCTTCCATATGTACCGGCGATACGATACGCTTGGTCGGTATCGCTGCGGATTATCGTGCTCTGTTTGACTGCTATAACGCAATAGATAGTAATACAATTACATCGCCATTTCACCGCTGATAGGAATATCGTATCGTCGAGCCATATCTTACTTTGCGTGTATGAGCCTTAACATTTTTCACGGTAAATTTGAAGCATCCGAGAATTGAGAGTTCATCTCACTACCTCAAACCTTTAAATACAAATAAAAATATGTAATATATTCAATAACTTTGTTTATATATCCTCAAATGTACCCATACGCAAAAAAACCCAAAACATATGTATTAATTTTGTTTCATATACAGTAATATATTTTTTGTTTTACAATAATTTTGTTTATTAGATTAATTATCACTCATAATTTTTATATATAAAATGAACTCCTTATACTTTTTGGGAGTCCCTTGCCTCCCTCCAAAGGAGAATGGAAAGTCTGCCTCTATGAGTAAAACAATGAAAAAACTTGATCATCTTCTGTTGAAACAGTTCTGTAGTCTTATTCTGTATTTATAAAATTTCTATCTCATTAAGATGGTTTCTAGAATGAAATTTGTACCTGAGGGCACTCTCAGATGGTGGTTTCAAAGACTCCATGTATCACAGCGGATATTTCTTCCAAGCTGGATTTGGCTACGTTTAGGACCCCTCAGCTAAAGTCTGAAGTGGGGTCTCTTTATCAGATGTAATGTATATAACTGGTTTTCAGGGATTAAAATATATAGTAAATTTATTAACAAATTTACAAAACAGTTATTTTGGGGTCATATATACAACGTTACTAGATAAATGTAAAATAACGATGTATTATTATTTAAAAAAAAAAAATTCCATCTATCTACTACACCATGGATGTTAGTCAAATCTATTTAGTATGTTTTTATCCCTATGATTGCAATAGTTATTTTATTTTATATTACTTTGTTATGAAACCCAAAATGATAAAAACATATTAAGCAGATTTGACGAACAGTTCGTATTTTAGTAGATCGTGAGACAATTTTTAAAAATAATAGTTTAATTAATAATGTGGGGAACATTCTACTTTAAATGGAAGGAAAATCATCAAATATTAATCTTTTAAAAATAAGTAAAAACGAGCCCAAAACGTTAAACCAATAAAGAATGATAAAAATAATAACAATAATAAATTAAATAAATAAATAATGATATGGAAACTTGGTTAATTTTTCCTGATAAAAATGTATAATAAATGGCTATTGGGCATTCAAAGAGGATTACACTTGGAAATTACAAAAAAGATGTTTTTTTAATTTTGGTCTGGTGATTCGGTAAATTTAATTTATTTCTATAGTGTATCATACTATAATACATTACGTACAGATGTATTTGTTTTTCATAAAATTTTTAATCACTAAAAAGAAGCTTTATTTGATTCACTTAACAACAATATTTTAAACTCCACTGTATTTTTATAGGTTCTTTTTTAACCAATTTAATAAATTAACTTTTTTAAATATATGAGAATTTTTGATAATCGTTTATTCTCATCACATTCAGTCCCAGAGAATAAATAAGTAAAGAATTCCCTTGCAATGACAAGAAAAATTGATGATGTCGGTAGATTTATTAATATCTATTTTCATCCTCTATTAACTATGATAAGACAATTTATATTAAATATGAGTAAATAAAAATGAATTTTTTTTCAATTCCTTTAGTTTATATTAAATTTTTATTTAAAAAATAAATGAAATTTATAAATTACTTATTAACCTTTCTTCATTATATATTATTTCTTCTTCATAACTTTGCCCACAGGTCAAAATTTAAAATAACTTATAAATTTTTTTTATATTCTCCCATGCATATAAAATGGTGCATATTGTTTGCAGAAGAAGGAAAGGAGGAGATTCCTTCTTCTGCAAACAATATGCACCAGTATTCTTGGGTCAGTCTAAATAAGTTTTGTCAAGAACTACACTCAGACATACAGAATGTTTGATCACTGACCAAACTTTTTCAAAGTTACTCAAGTATCTGGAACGTATTACTTAATGAAGAGAGGGACTAAGCATCACTGTACTGTTCAAATAGAAATAAAATCTTTTAAACCAGTTTTTTTTAATTGGCTTGTGGGGAAAATTAGTAGAGGAGACATAAAATGTTATACCGTATTATGAAAAAAGTTTATAGTTAACTAAATTATAACAAATTAAATTTTAAATAAATATAGAAATATATATATATATATATATATATATATATATATATTAATTGTTGATTTTTCTAATATTTCTAATATCTAAATTTCATATTTCTAACCTTAAACTACCATTTTTAAGGAATCTAAATATACCATTTAATAAAAATTGTGGGGAAATGGTTGACTGTCGTGAATAATGAAGAGAAGAATAGTTGGGGTGATCAATCAAATAAGAAGGCAAAAATAAATGATAATGTTTATTTTGACATTTGCCGACGTTTCGGCCTGAAGTTCAGGCCTTCATCAGGGCTGTCTCCAAAAAGTGTTAACAGAGAAGTCATTAGGTTTTTTTTTTGGAAGTCAAGAGACTTCTCTGTTAACACTTTTTGGAAACAGCCCTGATGAAGGCCTGAACTTCAGGTCGAAACGTCGGCAAATGTCAAAATAAATATTATAATTTATTTTTGCCTTCTTATTTGACTGATCACCCCAACTATTCTTCTCCTCATTTAATAAAAAGTTGAACACGAAATTTAAAGTTGATGAACCACCATGGATACTTGGCAATATTTTTATTCTGATAGTTTTTGTAATTTTACTGTCAAGAACTTGCTTATTGTTTGGTAGCATTGTGAATTTTCTAAACTGTTTTGCTTGTTATAAAGACTATTTATTATTCTTAGTTTTATTAATGTAAGTTCATTTAATTTTTCAAGAGAAAACTTATGCTAATTTTAATTTGTTTTCTTTTTAATACTAATTTTAGATGTCGCAACTCTGACTTCAGTTCCATTATTCCTCATCAGCCAGCCAGGTACAGGGAAAGGCACAATGAGGTGTTCCTGGATTTTGAGGCCTTCCTCTTGAGTACAATGAGGGAACGATCCACCCTCTGGATCCATTCCCAAATCAAGGCATGCATGGACGCTTTGGACTGCCAACCAGTGGGTTATCATTATTATCTTAAAGAATACTTTTTATACTAAATCTTGTGTTATTCTAATTCAGGAAGAATAGTGTTTAGATTAATTGTTTGATAACTTCATTGTGAGGATGTGATGGCCGAGAGTGTTAAGATGTCACCTTAGCAACCTCGAGTCTAGTGGCACCGATTCAAATTCTTCTTGGCAGACCCACTGATTGGATCTCGACCTTCCCATTCTTGTTAGAATAAGTTGGTTTTGCCTGTAGAATTTATCTATTTGAATGAACATTAGCTTATGAATATTATGAAACAACAACTTTGGAATTTGAAATATGTTTCTTTTTAATTTATTATTATTTGTCATTTTTCGGGGATCCTCAAAAATATATTTGTCGCAGGGCCCACTTACTAAGGAGGCTCCACACCAGGAAGATTTTTTTTTTTGGCTTTTTTGAGGGTGCTCAAAAATGAATTGGCCCAGGCCCCAAAATAAATAAAATGAAAATGATAACAACTGAGAATAAATTTTATACTGTTCTTAACAAGGATACCAACAGATTACTTATTTTGGAAGTAACCTGATTGTTGGACCTAATTTTTTTTTTCTGTCACCATTACAGACACACCTTGTAGAACTTTTGCCGTCTTAACCAGCCTTTTCCATCTCTACGTGTTTTGGACCAACTCTATTGCATGTTTATTGATTCTGTCCATCCAGTTGATTTTTGGCCTTCTAAATGCCCTTTTGCCTTCTATTGAGGCACATGTTGTACAGAGGCTTTAGGATGGATTTATCCGAGATACATACCCAGCCCATCTTAACCTCCTTGCCTTCATGTAATGTGATATCGATTGACCAGTTTCCGTAAGCGACTCTTTATAGTTCTTCTCGATGCGTTAGTATTCTGATCCCAGATCATTCTGGTTATCATGTGGAGGATTTTTCTCTCAAATCTTTCAATACTCCTTTCTATGGTGTTGATAAAGATACAGGTCTCACAGCCGTAAATGAGGACTTGCTTTATCATAGTACTGTAAACCTTAATTTGAGATTTATCAGGATTTCAATACTTTTGAAATAGAGATTAAAGCTCTGTTTGCACTTGTTATATCCTGGTATATTTCCAACCATTGGTTGGAATGTTAGAGTTTTAACAGTGAAATATAATTAAATTATATGAAATAAACATAATTAAATTAAATTGGCATTTTAGACGAAGATCTTGAAAGACAGTGTAACAGTCAATGTGTTAAAAAAACAAAAAGGTATGCAACAAATTTTAATTTATATATTTATTGATTTGAAACAAAATTTCCTGTTTCAATATGGGCTATTATCATAAAATAACATTCAAAGTAATAAGTCATTCAAGAAGCAAATATTTGATTAAAACATAAGTTAAATAACAATTAATCTTAAATTTAATTTCCATTATACATAATAAAATTTGTCTTTAAAGAATTTTAAGAAAAATGTAAATTTCTTCAAACATTTCTCAGGAATACTGCATGGACCAATTTGAACCAACAGGCCATGGTAGGAGGAAGAGAGAAGAACATAGAAACTCGACACGAACAGGAAGGGTGGAAAAGGGTGAAGAAGGCAACGTTACCTCTCAGTTCACTAAGTTCAAAGAGAATATCGAGTACACAGTTCTTATGCCTGGAGGTATGATGTTCAATTTTATACTTTCCAGCTGCCTAAAGCTGTTTAGATCTATTAAGTGACAATTTAAAATTACTTCATAGTAGAGTGTCAACATTTAATTTAATTGAACCGTTTATAGGGGAGAATAACTTTTGCTTAAATTCTTTAAATTAAATTGCTTAAATTACGATATTTGAATAGACAATCATGTGGACAAAAAACAAGAATATTTTGTTTTTTAAGAAAGAAGAAGACATATACAGGACGGTTTTTATAATGTGAAGAAGTGCATTGCTTGGCTTGTTCAGATAATCAAAGGTTAAATTTAAAATTATGGCATAATCGCTTCCATTAAATAAAAACACATTACAAACAAAAATATTATTTCTGAAAATGATCATATAATATATGGTGAGTCTCTGGTTTTGTTCTTATAGAAAACGCCTGATCTTACTTAGTCTTTAAAGAACCAGGCTTCGGTAATCGATGTTGAATCCATTTGCCCACTCCCAGAAAGTATTAAATGCCTTGTGAACTTCAATCGGCTTGTATACTCCGTGTTTTGGTCCATGTACCATCTCATTATTTTTCCCTTTATCTAACAGTTCTGTATTAGTGAATTTAGTTTTCTTATTTTTTTTTTTTTTTAATATGGCTTCTTTAAAAAGGTTATAGTTAGTTTATTGTTCTAAATTTTATAGATTAACGAACTAAAGAGCCCTTACATGTTTCACAGATGTATACTCAGAGCCAACGCAGGAGAACGCCTGCCAGAACATGATGCTGATGAGTGGAGCACTTGGAAGCATGCTGTTCACCGCAGCGTTCTTGATGTGCTATCTGGCAGCCAGGGTCCACTCTTTGCAACGGAGGATAGAACCTAAGCTAGGCTCGGGGCCTTATCCTACTAGGTGTGTAATCTTTTTATTTCAAGAGAAATATATCTGACAAAGTGAAATAAATCCAATATTTATCCAATAGTTATATTTATGATATTTGTTTATTATTATTAGAGATTGTGATGGGCGACCACGTTAAAGCGTAAACGTTATCATTCTCAAGTCTAATGATGCTGGATCAAATCCGGCCTAAGCAGGTTAAAATTTATTTATGGCTGACTCACTGGATGAATCTCGTCCTTCTCACTCTGCTTGGAATTGGTTTGGTTTTACCTTTATAACAACCCTCCGTATGCCAGTAATGGTGAGGTAGGGGTATCGAGGAAAGAAAAAAAAGAAGATATTTATTTACATTTGTTAAAAAAACAAAGAATCTTTATTATGAAACAAAAGTTATCGGTAAATAAAAGTCATACAAGAAGTTTGTCTTTCATTTACAAAAATGAGTGAAAAAGTATGTGAACGCTACTCCTAAAAATGATAAAGCAGAATAATCAAGTATGAGATTTAAAGTCACTCGACATTAAAAAGAATGACAATGTCAGTATTAATAGTTGTATAAACTTAGTAGAGCATATTTGTAATAGATACTTAAGTATTGTGAACAAATATTGATATATTAGGGTGACCCATAAGTTTCTTTTTTCTTTTTTTAAAATTTATTGTTTAAGGTTGATGAAATGTTCAACTCTATTACATTCTTACGTTCCTCAGGAAGCCTTAATATTCCCTCTTTTCAAAATTGTTGAGACTTATTACAAAATATTCATGAGGTGCATTTTTATTGCGCCTTCATATTTGTTACATTTATCACTTAAAAAATTTTTTAAGATGAACGATGAACATGGTGGAGAAAGCTCAGAGAACCAAAGATGAAATAAATGAAACTACGGAGAAAAAAAAAAGGTGTTGTTTTCTTACTTTTGATTTAAAAATGTTATTCTACAGATCTTAAAATGGATAGATATTCGATTTCGTAGTTGTTACAAGCTAGCAAATGAGATGTACAATAACATGGAAATCTGATCTCTAGTTATCAAGTATATTGAAATATCAATGCTATCGATCCCTGAAAGAAGTGGAATAGGATTAACATTGAATTAAAGCCTTAGATCTATAATACCTTTAACAGCAACAATTAAATATTTTTACATTACTCGATACAAAAAAAGTATAAATTTGTAAAATATTAAACATTAATTAGGATAAGCACACCTGTGATGGCCATAGCTAAGGAAATTGTTGTCTTTTTTTGCTTATGCCGTCATAATTATTATAGTTATTAACTTCTCCGTTGGACGTTTAGTATTTCTAGGGTCTCCTTTTTCTATTTAACACTTTAAAATTGGAAAACTATTCAGTTATGCAGTTATAATCTCCATTTTTAAAAAACACCTTTTTTTACTAGTGATGGACACACCGAAATTCAATTGTTCTAGTAATGGACATGGGGTCAGTTACCAGTTGTAGGCATACCTCAGAAAAATTCTATTTTTTTATTTTTATTTTAATGAAATTTACAACTGTATTACATGGAAAATACAACAATTAAATGTGACATTGGTAACATGGCATGTACAACATGAAGAGAAACTACCCAGTGGTAGAACTCAAATTAAAGTTCTATATTAAAAGGTCCCAAGGCCATCTTCTTTTCAGACGCCTTTGAGGGTTATCAGGGATTGAGGAGGAAGCAAGGTTTGAAACGATAGGATTCGGATGGTTCTGCAGTTTGTTATGGAAGGATAGGTATCTGGATTGGGCCAAATTGGAAACATATGGTACATTAAGGTCTTTATGGATGATTTTATTTGTGACAAAGTAAGGAGCGTTGAGGATTTTATGAAGGATTTTGGATTGTAAGGATTGGATACGAGAGGAATTCAATGGTTAGAAAAATTCTAAAATCATTATTTAACTGAACGATAAATATAAGACAACATAACTAACTCATAGCAAAACTGTTAGTAGGAAGGTATAAAACACACTGATCTCAAGAACACTATAGAAACAACAATTATAGACATTTTAAAAGTTTCTTTTGCGAACTTTGTTCATACAGTTGTCAATAGAGGGCATTGTTCTTCAATCTAGAAAAAGCTGGAACCTTTAAATCAATAAGGAAGCTTATTATTTACATTTAAAGTAAATCTGTCAATCACTAGTGCGTTCACGTTTATTGGACAATTTTTTAAAATAAATTTTATCAAAATAAAAATACTAGAAACTAGAAAAAAAACTTAATTAAATTACTTAAACATATATGTTACTAAAAAGCAATAATTATTACAAAACTGTACAAGCCATTTCAAGGCAGGATAACTGTTCACCTATAGTTAGAGACTCGTGGCTTTATAGTTTGAATTTTTTCAGTTATAACGTTTAAATTGAACATAAAAAACTGAAGAAAAACAAAATTGAATTAATAATGACTGCAATTAGGTTAAAAATAATTTCAATTTTACATATTGACATATTGATAAA